TTTTCATCATTTGTTGCTAACACCTTCAAAAATATACATTTTAACGAAAATCATGTAATGAACAGAATTATATCAATTAAAATCTTAATAAATCGTTATTTTACAGTGTTTTATGAACATTATTAGGCTAGATATGAAAATGGGTTTTTATAGTGCTCAAAATAAGCTTTAAAATGAGTACTTCTGCGTGTAAAATGAGTGAGCTATCATGCAGATAAAGGACGCATGCAATGTTTTTTTTTTTCATTTAAATCAAATACTTTGAGTGCCATATCCACCAAAATTAAAAATAATCGTATTCAATCTAGAATTAACTTGGTTTAAGAGATCTTGATGGATTCTAGAAAATACCACAACTTTAGTACAAATGATTCTTAAAAAACTCATGATTTCATGAAAAAAAAACATTTTAAAAAAAACAACCAATTTCTCATCATAATACCTCTGAAAGAATACGTATAAAAGTATATATATAAGAAAATTCGAGGTATTTTTCTGACTAATTATTATTGTTTATTATTATTTCGTTACACAAATATTGATAGATGTATGATTAATTAAGGAGCTGTCCAACCAGAGGTCTTTCGAGCCCTTTAACCCTTCGCCGTTTTACAATAAGAGAAGTTACGGTAAAATTAATGATAGAGAAAGTTGTAGCTCATTTAATAATCTTTAAAATAGTGTATTACAAGTTCTGATAAAATCAGAATTAAAAGAGTAATAATCCAATTAATGCTGTGGATGGTGACGGAGTGCAAATTGTTAAAAACATTGAAATTAAGATAAAGATTAGCCTATTTCCAAAATATCAAGTAAATTGGAGCACAGTAAAAAAATTCACAGAGCAATAATTTTGTTGATTGTAAGTTGAATAGAGCACATGTGAACAGGATTTGACAAATTAATTCACTTCAAATATAAACTTAAGCAATAATGTATATTGATTTATTGGAGAAAAAAATGTAATATAGATATTAAAATTACTAAAAGCCAGTTAAAATATGGCACGAAATTATAAAAATTATAGGCAACATTATTGAAGCATAAATTTTGGGTAGAAAAATGGTGATATTGCACCTTTGCCGCGAATGCTATATATTAATTCTTTCTGAATTTGTTGTACTTTGTAAAAGATTTCAATTTTCAACACGTGTATCTTATGCTATAACCATAAATCACAAAGGCAGACGATTTTTTTATTTGGAAAATCAATGTTTTAGTCGTGAATAAACAAAAAATCATTCTTTTATACATCCACATCTACAGGTATGACTAAAAATACTATATAACCCTTAAATGCAATAAAATAAATTGAGCTATTGGAAATAAATTTGTTCTATAAATCGCAGTGTATAATTTTTAATATACAATTTTATTGAACATTTTTTAATATTTGTTAAATGAATAATTAAAGTGTTAACTGTGGGAATTGAGAATAATCATTTTATTTGAAATAGTTCTACATTCAACATCACTCATATATTGGTGTAAATAGTAATTCAAAAAACAGTAATTATTATTTTTAACTAAGCAGTAAATATTAGTATAAAAAATTGAAAAATTGTAGACATGAGTACAGAACAACGTCTGTCGGGTCAGCTAGTATATATATATATCTTCAATCTATATATATACATAAATCTTCAATATATTTTTTATATATATATATATATATATATATATATATATACAAACAACACTATTTTTTGCACTAATTTATTAAATAATAATTTCCACAAACGTTTCGAGACTAGGTTTGTCTCATCATCAGTGTGTTATAATTTAAAATCTAAAATATGGAAACCTAAATTAGCATTTTATGTTATCCGATAGTATATTGAACGACTTGTAACGGATAACACATAATGCTAATTTAGGTTTCCATATTTTAGATATCAAGTTATAACACACTAATGATGGGACAAACCAAGTCTCGAACTAGTACAGAGACAGTCGAAAAATATCTTTGACTTTAAATATTCGGAATAATCTACAAATTCCTTTTAATATATTTTTATATTGCAATCCTATAGAAAATTTGTAGCTCCGAAAATATTTACAAGATTGTATTTGTTTTGAAAAAAATTACAATCAGATTCAAAGAAAATTCATTTCAACCCTTCCCACTCGCATGCCGCCGCGGAGGCTACATAATATCTATCACTGTAGCAATGTACGAGCGGAATTCTTATCTTTGAAAACTTTCTATCAGATTTATTTAATTAAATATTTGTAATGATGGCGTTTTCATAGCATAAAATAGTATAAGCAAAGTACTAAAATATTTATGAACGTCACACCATCATCCTTATAGAGTTAACAATTTAAATGTCTTTGTTTAATACCAAATTTGATCAATTTTATGTGAACTTTATGTGAACAATTCCATTGAGAAGAATCGTGAGAGAAGTTCAATAAAATGAAAATATTCAATATACTATACACAAAGAAATTATGAGCCTGCGGTTTTGTTATTTGTCGTTCTTATACAACATTCAGTAATTTTGATGGTTTATTAAATAAAGGAAAAGGTCGAAAGGTCACCCATTAGTGATCCGATTCGATGTTGGATATGTTTAGCTTATAGATGTAATCCTGTTTTTTTAAATAATTTGCTATTCAAATTTAGTAACAAAAAGGCAGTAATTTATACAGGAGCAATGAAAAAAATCTACCGGTTTTGTACCTTGACAAAACCGTACCCAATAATACATGTACACAATACATTTAATTATAGAGCAAATGTATATCCCAACCCAATAACATGTAGGTTATTGTACTATTTTCTCTTCCAATTTATTTCAAATAACTCTTCACCCAAAGTGGCAATAAAAAATACTATAAAGCCAAGACAAAGTTCCTTAATTATTAAAAATGTAATTTCCTACAGAGTCAGCAGACAGTATTACCTGAGCGGTTTTATCGATAGTTAAATACGAGCGTACAAAACACTTCCAATTTACATATACAACTAGACACTAATACGACAGGCTACAGTAATTACCTATCGATTTGCATACGGCATTTCACCAAATGTTTTTCGTCGTGAATAAATCACAGGTTGGACTTACCAGTGACAGCAGCAGGGCGATTTTCTTTGGGGGCTCTCGTTCTGTCGGCTATCTGCTCCTGCCAGGAAGCCGGGCCATGGGCGGCGCTAGGGGCAATTTTGGCGGCTATTATTGCGGCACTAACTGGTAAAAATAGTTCCTAAAATAATAAAGTAATAATAGATTAATTAAATAAGTCACATGATTTGAAAATAAATTATATAAAATATTCTTGTTGTGTTTAGCAAAAACTCGTCCTACTAGATTTAGTATTAAATTTCTTTTATTCTTAGAGCCTATAACAAATACACCCTAAGAGATGTATATATATATATATATGTTATATATATATATATATATATATATGTATATATATGTATTTTGCAAAATGTATGGCTGTATATTTTAAATTATTACTTGTATATATAAAGATGTTCATGAAATATTTTATATATACGTATTTGTTTATATTACTTATATATACATATATATATATATACATATATATAAACATTAGAGCGAGTAGATTTCAAAATCGCTTAGGCATATATTATTTTCGGATTCTAGGGATCAACGTAAGAAACTTTGCTAGAGAAACCATACTTCTAAATTGAATTCTGATGTCCCTCGCATTGACCCAAAGGAACAGATTAAATGTAAAAAAAATCAGTTTTGACCTATTTCTAGTGCCCCCAATTGCGTCCAAATCCATGACCGACCCCCACTAACATTAGAAGGCTGATCCATCCATGGCACGTGGTTAAATTGATCAAATTCAAAACCAATTGGTTCTATTGATTCAAATTTTCTTAAATAACAAGAAAGTAAAATTTATTTTTGTTATGAAAAAAATAATAATGGTCAGTACAGCCTTAAAACAGATCTTCGCATTGACCCAAAGGTACAGATTAAATGTTAAAAAAATCTGTTTTGACCCATTTATAGTGCCCCCAATTGCGTCCAAATGCAGGACCGACTCCCACTAACATTAGAAGGCTGATCCATCCATGGCACGTAGTTAAATTGAGAAAATTCAAAACCAATTGGTTCTATTTATTAGAATTTTCTTAAATAACAAGAAAGTAAAGTAAAAAAAGTAAAGTTTATTTTTGTTTAAATATAAATAAAAATAATGGTTAGTACAGCCTTAAAACAGGTCCGTGAGCTAAGTTAAATTCCAACTCGATTCAGGAAAGAATAGTGTGGGAGATTTTCCATTGCCATTTTAAACCCAAGTACCCAAAATGGGCTATTTTCAATTCGAAATATATTTTCAATACAGGGGAGTCCCAGACCTTAACGTCAACGGGGTGATAATATTGACCTTAAAAAAATATCTGACTTTGTTAAAAAAATTATGAGCTTCTAAGTGCAATCTAGAACTTTGACAAAGTTATAACCATTTGTCGGTTAGTTTGGTTAAGTTTTACTAATTTTGCTGATTTAAACTTTGTTGAATTTCTAAAAAAAATTATATTATCGGTCGACTTTGAGAGGCCCTTCTTTTGAAAAAATGTACTGAAGTGTGCTGGCAAGTTTCATTAAAAGTTCGCGCATTTTATCAGAATAGTAAAATGGTGTAATTCTTGATATATTTATTATAAAAAAATCGAGTAATAAAAACCTAAAAATGGCATGATTTTTGATAGTAAATTATATTAGCAATGCATGTGTGTGTATTGAATAGACAAAAAATTTAATCAGACGCCACGACGCCAAAATTTAATCAGACGATTCAAATATATCCCGTTTAATATATTTTTTTTCTTTTCAGCACTTTGCCGAAACGAACTACCAACAATTTCAACACAACCCGTAACATTGGGTAAAAATGCAAAAAGTCCGCGATATGGGTCCCTCCTCCGCTTCATTGCGATCTGGTCAGAGCTCATGGGAGTCCTGGGCGCTTGTTCCGCCTGCACCCGGACTTTGAGCGCCTGCCTAGACGACATGGCCGGAGGCAAGGTTCGGATACTCATACTTGGGCGAGAGGCTATGCCGCAGGTTTGTTATAATGCAGAAACACGACTTTTATAAGTTATTTTTAAATTTATTGATTTATGACTTCAACGCTACAAATGACTTAACGAGGTGTAGATTTTTAACAAGTCGGGTGAAGGATATTAGTTTTTATTCTTGTACGATATTTATGTTTAATGATTGATTCTGAGAGGTATTTACCGGAAATGACAGATATAAGGTTGAAATACCTTTAAACGATCAATTAAATGAATTATTCAATATATTTATAACAAGTTTCAGAATTTTTATCATACATTTTTATCATTTTTGCACCTTATTGCGATAATCTTTTCGGTACATTTTTATGCTTGTAAGTATTTTTCTTCCAATAACCGATATATATATAATCTTTCAAAATATTGGTTAATAAAAATTAAAAATATAAGCATAAAAACTAAAATAAAATAAATTTCTGATATCACAAAAACATAAAAATATGAATAAAAACAATATTTGCAAGTTACATATCTTTATAATACATACAAGCAGTGGTGTTGTCGAGCCGGAACGCGCCGGAACGTCGTTCCGGCAAATCATTTTTGGGAAGAAACGCGTTCCGGCAAGAAAAAATATAAAAAAATCGCTACATACAGAAAATGATTTAATAAGTAATTTTTATAAATTATTATTCAACTAATTTTTATTAAATATTCTTATTATTGTAATAAACATACATATATGTGCACACAATGGGTTTTGTAATAATTTTTGTTTCATTCCTTTTCTAACGGTACCGGAAAAAACATGAGAACCCGTTTTTGAACCGGTTTATGAACCAGTTTTTGAATTTTAGCGTTCCGACAAAAAAATTTTAGCACAACACCACTGGTTTTATCAAAGTCGTTTTTAATTTAGTTACAAATTGAGGTGTATGAACTGAAATATTAATTACAATACAGTAGTGTATTTCAAACTGCACATATGTTAAAAGTGTCTGATGCCCGATTATTTCGGATATAAGTTGGACTTGATTCCGACATAGCGGGCGTTAGTCGAATAAAATAAATAATTTAAGACATTCATATAATGGAAATTGATTGTAGCGAACAAGCAATTCTATAAATACAAAAGCACAAGAACTGCAAAAAAATGTAATATTTTAAAAATTGGATGAATTTTTTGTCATCTAAGGCAAAAATCGCTAGCAAAGTTCGATCGCTTGTAAATTTTTACAATCCAACATTTATTGGTAATTTTTTTAATCATTGTTTTATTGACATTTATTTATTGGTAAATTAGTTGACAATTTATAGCAAAAGAGTTACCCTGATATTTCAATAGACTTATTGTCTAAATTTCGGCCTACAATTAGAGGTTTGTATGCATATTCATAGAAACTTTGATCTTTTAAAAATCTGATGAAGGTGCTGCGGAATTGATGATCACTCAATTATTGATTGACCTGGTAGTAGATTAAAAAATTGTACTCCTAGACTAGTAATTCCCAACGTGGGGCACACGCCCCAAAGAAAAATCCATTTTTAAATTCAAATGGGGAAGGCAAATTAAAAAATTACACGACTTTAACCTACTTGCTTTGGGTGATTTGATTGTATTTTGTAAATACTGTCAAAAATTCATTAAATATATTATGATCATTGTTTAGTTTAAGTAAGCACAGGATGCATGTGCAAATCATATAATTTTTCCATATATATTTTCATAGCTTAGGTAAATAAGCATCCCTTTTTAGGTCTAATGCAAACTTTCTCAATATTACGGATTATAGAAAAATTCCAAATTCTGTATGTATTAGTCTGTATATTTATAAATTACCATCCCTTCCAGACAGCGGTATAATAATTTTTATATTATATTTTTAAATTTAGAATTTTTAGAATTCAGTAAGTTGCGAGACTAAGAACATCTTAAGAAAATCAGCTCGCACAAGTTACTCAAACATTTAATAAAATTTATAATTATATGTCTATTGTCGCACAGTGCACACAATCGTTTAAAAGTGCAGTAATTAATTTTCTATGAAGTGATAACGGCAAAAGCAGCAGTAAGGTGTAATCGATGCCTTAACGGATATTTTGGATAGTTTAGATATTTAATACCGAGATAAAAATTTTTATAGAAAAAATAATATTTATAAATTCTTATATTCATTCGCATTTCTTATACGCTAACACCTACATCATAGGTTCCTATTCGTGTATTTTTATAGCCTTACGTATGCATATACGTTGCATTCTATACTACACGCCTTACATCTATACCATACGCTATATTTCATCACATACCCTCAAATCCCTACATTGTATACCGAATACAACTAACCTATATCTACTCTATATCCTATTATCTATAATTTTCCTTACACGCTACATTAACCCTACCGAGAATCGAACCCGGGTCCGCCGCGTGGAAAGCGACAACGTTAACCACTACACCACCGTAACGCTACAATCAACCATCTTTTTTCGCGTGTCGTCGCGCCACCTTAATATTAATTACCTAATTAATTAGAAAATGACCCGCGGAAACAACAGTGCGTCCCATATTATTTTATTCCGCCACGCGGAAGTCCCGGGTTCAATTCCCGGTATAGACAATAGATAGGTAGAGATAATACATAGGGCGTAAGGTAAACCTATATATAATATAGGTAAATATATAAATTAGACAGTAATATTTATAAGAAGTAAAAAGTATGTAGGTATATAATAAGTTAATGACGGTATAGGTATCTCACGGTATGATTGATAGTAGATATCTACCTATGGTATACAATAATATAGTATAGTAAGATAGGTAATAGGTTATCTATCATATTATTAGGTTGTATTGTAATGAATCTTGAGTACTTTTATATCATAATAAATACCTGTAAGTAATAATGAATACAAATAATACCACAATAAATATAATTAATGTTATTAAAGAATATAAATTATGTACTCAATGATTCCCTCATACTTGTACAATTTAATTTATAGACTAGCTGTATATAATAGAGTTAATTATATAAGAAGTCAATATATTAGATTTGTGAGTTCTTATCGAAATATATCAAATTTTTTGAACAGGATTTTAAATTTTAGCGTTCCGGCAAAAAAAATATTAGCACAACACCACTGCATGCAAGTTATATATCTTCATAATACATACAAGGTATATCTTTATAAACAGCAAATGCAGTATGAAATATATTGATCGCGTCTGGAAATTTTGATAATTGACTGATTTAAGAATAAATAAAATATAAAGTTAATTTTAAAATTAATCCAAGAAACTGTTCATTATTTATATTAACTGCAATGATAAATAACGATTAATTAGATTCTTCTACAAGCAAAACAAAAAATAGTTGCTATCTAGGCAGTTCATATTTGATAATTCGATAATCGGTTATTATTACAACTTTTGTTTTGAAATAATAATTACGTTTTTGTGTCTGTTTCAACTTGAGTCTTAATTTCTAAATAAGAATAATAATGTTCAAATTTTGTGGTTTAGTTTTGTCTGGTGGGATTTATTGAATAGTGACTTATATCAAGTGCCGAAACGTTTGAAGATAGAAATTATTTACCGTTGTAATAAATTACATAAAATAGGTTTTAACGTCGGAAAAAAATCAAGATTTAATAAACATTATAAAATAGATATCTACCACATATTATATCAATGAACATTTATATTATGTATTTTTTAAAAACAATATAATATGACGATAGTGATTTATTTCGGTATTAATTTTTATCAATCTTCTGAAAAAAAGACAATAAAAACTTAATTTTTATACTTATAAAAATTTGTAAAAAAATTGTTTTATTTCTTAATTAAATTAAGAAGAACATAAGCTTAAAGTTAGAAAAGTGGCATAATTTTCAATCCTAACTGACAAAGAAATAGCATATATATACATATATATACATATATATATAAATATATATAAATATATATATATATATATATATATATATACGTATATATATTTAATTATATTTCTTACATTTTTATCATATCCTATGAGAAGATATTATAAAGAATGTTATTAATTCGAGGTATTGTAATTTGCTATACGTTAATTTAAAATTAAATCCCGTCTATTCATTGCAATACAAAAATCCATCAAAAGCGCTTTCTTTTTGTGCATTTTTATATCTTATATATTAGTATTGTATAAATACGAGTCGAATATAGACTGATAATTCCTTCCTATTGTGGGCTTAAATCAGATTAAAATGGTCAGCTGATGGAATCGCGCCCAGATTCGCGTGACCGCTGATCCTATGGGTGCGGAGCAAAAGCTCGCAGACTTTTCCTCCTGATATGCGATTCTAACAATAATGTGCCCCACGCACGCATTTTCTGATATTAATGCATGTTATGATTATGAAAATGATTACGTTCCAGTAATTGCGTTTCGAATCATATTTCAAGTATATTTAATCTGTTAGGTCACATGATAAGAAGTTAGGCGCATTTATACCAAATAACCTGGAAAAAATCTAATATATGCATAAAGCTTACATATCCAATTTGAACTCCAAAATCAGTTTTGAAAATTTACATGGAATTTTAACAGTATGATGCTCAACATTAAATATTTGGCATTTATCATTTTGGCAAAAAATTCGATTTGCGGAATCGTTTAAGACCAAAATTGGAAAAAGTATATGTGTGTAAGCTGTATGCGTATGTGACAAATATTTGACTTCTCATCTTTGATTTCTCAAAAGCGGCTGAACCGATTACAACAATATTCAATACTCGATAAGGACATACGTTAACTAGTTAGTCTCTTTAGAATTAGCAGAAAAATATAAAAAAAAATATCCAAGTTTTTGTCAAAAATACTCAACCAATTTTGAACATCAACCAAATCTTATGTAGCCGTTTATTACGCATATATAGCCGTTTTTTCAAAATTAATTGTTAATTTTTTGACGACCTTAATGAAACTTTGAAAAGCCATAGAGTTCATGGCCTGAACGAAAATCTTAAAATATTTAAAGCATAGTGATTTGGCCCACGCGCTTAGGACATGCGTGTATGTCCTATGTTAATTATGTAATGCATATATTATAAATATAATTGAAAAATACAACTAGAAAATCGTATTAAGTAGTGTTTAGTAAAAGCTTAAAATTCAAATATTTCGTAATTTTCTTGTTTCTAACATAATTGAACACATTGAGGAGCCATTATGTTCTATATTAGATACTTAATGAATAGATAATTAAATATCGTACGAACAAAAGAATTAATAAAAGAATTGTTTAAAAAAAATCCGATGTTCTTCCGATATGAATAAAAAATAATATTTCAGAACTTTACCCACTTTTCATGACTTTTCAAGATAATTTAGTTATAATTATAAGAAATGTTATCCTTTTTATTGCAATTGAATTTAATGCAGCATTATGAAATGTGTGTCATATTAGTTATTTATATGATTTTGCTATCGATAGGAAACTTGGCCTGATGTCCTTGGCGTCGCTATAGTAATTTTAATAACAGCGATGTTTATGCTAGGATTAGAGGTGAGTATTGATAGAAAAAACGCAAAACTTTTTACAATTATGAGAAACAATAGTATATAATTTTTTCAGACTGTAACTATTTCTCACATAATAAAATTTCAATTTGAAATGTTAAAATTTAAATTTCTAATATTCCTTTTTTCAGAGTTCCTGCACATTTACCTTATTAGCAGTATGCGGATCTATAGGCTGTGGAATAGTTTTAGTAATTGCTAGCGTACTTTGCGGCGATCCTAATAATTTAGTTAGAGATGATAATTTATTACCATTCGATTGGAATAAGGCAAGCTGTAATATATAATTTGCAATAACTCAAAAATTTATTAATGACCTTATTTTTCATGAAATGTTACTTCATTCTAGCTTTTAATGGCAACATCTTTGTTGTGCTCGGCATATAGCCCATTATATCCAGTAGAAAATACTTTAACCGTGAAAGCTGTTAAGAGGTTTAAAATATTCACAATTTACACAAGTCCTGCTATACTGTGCGCGATAATGATTATGTCTTTTAGTACCCTTACCGAATTCAGGTAAATAATATATCCAAAATATAGTTTTTAGCATTTTGCTATAATATTAAGAAAATCCAACTATAGTTACTATATTTGTCCATTTCTTCTTCAAATTGCGAAGGATAGCACCGATTAGCATTATTTTCCATAACTACAATATGTTTAAATATAATATGTAAAAGATAAAGTTAGAAAAAAAAGAACTTTTTGTCCGTTAATAGATTTTCTATTATTATAAGTGGTAAACGTCTAGCCACTCAACAATCAATAGAGTCAGACGTCATTTGCATATAAACAGATTTTAGATTAAATCTGATTACAAGTTTTCTTTTTATTTCATTTCAACATTTGCTATTTTGGTACTTATCTTCTGCAAATACTGTATTCAACTTAATAATTGTAGATATTATTTTATTGAGAAAAGGTCTTGAAATAGATGTTAAATAAAAGTGCATGCCTTAGTCTGGGTTTGTTTGGCAAACATTACATGATAAAATATGATATAAAAATATTTTTATTTTAGAAAATATAGTATTTCTTAGTATACTTATTTTGAAACATATTGTATTACCAAAATATAAAATACCCTCGTTAAATTGCTTAAGACTTTATTTCTGAACAATATTGGTAGTTGTTGAATTCTTAAAGTAAACTAAAAATATATCATAAATCATTGAGCGAGTGTTGTAAAGTTGTTAAGAAATAAAGTTAAAATGACTTTCCAGAACGTAGTTTAAAAATTGAACTAGTTTATTAACGTGTGTATGTTTTGTGTATTTATACTTTTGTGTATACAAATAATTTGCAATTCATTGATGTCATTACGATTGATATTTGGCCTAACAAATAAAACAGTTTATCAATATTAAATAATACAAATGCTGAACTAAGTTTAGAAATCAGGAAATCTCGAAAGTTTAGTTTAAGGATTCTATCCTTCCGTACTTGTATTTGCTATTTTCGATGGGAATTGACGACTAAATTTTTAATATTTAAAAATATGTAAAAAAACACCACAATTGCATGATATAGGATTGGGTTGAATAGAAAGATCAAACTGAGTAACTTGTCACAAAACTGAACTATTTAGTTCAGAAATTCAGTTTTATGACATCAAGTTACTCTGTTTGTAAACTATCATAAATTTAATTGTCAACTCCCATTGAAAATAGCAAATTCAAGTATGGAGGCATAAAATCTCTCATCCAAATCCATTGCTGGAAGTAGCTTATAACCAATCAATTTAGTAATCCTACTATTATATCACACTAGATAACAATAATTAACATATTTAATCAAAATAAAACGAAATATACCGACATGCTAATCAAATGCTATTTATTTAAATAACTATAATAGAACGGGTCGTTTTGTATGAGTCAAAAAGTTTCTTAGGCACATATGGTTTTCGGATTCTAGGAATCAAAATAAGATACTTTTCTGAAGAAACCAAACTTCCAAAATAAATTCTGATGTCCCGTGCATTGACCCAAAGATAAGGGTTGAATTTTGAAAATTTTCGTTTTGATCCCTTAGAATGCTCCAATTGCGCTCAAATGTATGACCAACCTCCACTAACTTTGGAAGACCATCCAACCAATTTTTGTATGTGGGACCTCTCAGGGTCCCAGACGATAAGCCATGCGTATGGGTGGATTTGCCTTTCAAAGTTAGTAGGTCTCGATCATACATTTGGACGTAATTGGGGCACTCTGAATGGGTCAAAACGGAATTTTTCAAAATTCAACCCTTATTTTTGGGTCAATGCGCGGAACATCAGAATCCATTTTAGACGTATGGTTTCTTCAGCAAAGTATCTTATTTTGATTCCTGGAATCCAAAAATCATATGTCCTTACGCGACTTTTAAATCGACTAAATCAATAATCTTGTTTTTTTGTGCATGATAAAGTTTACTAACCTGTCTGTAATCATCTGCATATGTGGACGACCGCATGCAAACTTCTTGTATTCACCAAAAGAATTGCAATATTTTATCTTGTTAAAATTATTGTTGATTTTATTACAATTACTAGAACACATACATCAGCCGCTGCCCTGCTGACAGTTCTCGAACCATTCCGCATAGAACCTGCTGCAGTAGCAATGAGTTGCTTGTCACTTGTTGGATTGACTGGAGCAATAATAGATCTTTTCTCTGCTCTGCCAGCTATGTTGTCAAGACTTGCATCACCACCTTGGCGACTTTTAGCACGAAGCCTTTTGTACGAGAGCCCCGAATCTGGTAGTCCTGTACTTGCCATATTCGTTGCAGGTTAGACATATATCTTGAAACAGAAATTTGAGAATATCAGAAATAGCACAAATTATAAAGATGAAGTGTATTAAATTGAAATATAACTTTGTTGCACAGGAGAATAACAAGTCAGTAAATGGTGAAGATCTTATACATTCCCAATTTTTTTAATTTGTCATAAAAATGTATTGTTTGTAACTGGTTATCAGAAGATGAGGAAAATTTATATGAATGAAAATAAACCCTGTGAAAAATATTTGTATTATACATTGCTAAATGTCAGTAGCATAAATCAAGATGTCAAGACATATCGCTAATCATAGTTTTATTGCTATAGGAACGATTGAGGTTGGTGTTCCTCATATGTATAGGACTAGGTGGTTGGTGTTCCTCATATGTATAGGACATAACTAGGCGCCTTGTAGACATAAGTATTTTCCGAATAGTGAAATGTATCGAATTTGAATTTTTCAAATTTTTTAAGTCATCCTGAGTGCATGAATGTTTTGCAAAATAAGGCACACTTTTCGTATATCAAGTAGATTTTTCATAATAAACCTATATAAATAATATTTATTCTTAATACGATCTATACTGCTGAAAGCAAAAAATGCTTAAATCAGACAAATATTGACATGCTATCGTTTCGTTATAGCACATGAGGAGAATTAGTAGTAAATGAATGTATTATATTAAATCTAGTACTAGAATATAAATAAATGTATATTAAAAACTTGTTTAAAATAATTGCGTTGCTAATAACTGTTCAACTAATAAAATTGCACCAACTTTATTTTATTTAAGGCTTAGTACTAAAATACGTTGATTTGTCACTAAGATGTTGCGGTTTGTCCAATCTCAAGATTTTCTTGTAAATTTTGTACTTCTGTAAAGTTTTCCAGAGACAGTTCTGCTTTTTCAAAATGAATTCTCAAAAGAAAACACATGGAGCAAGTAATTTTGGCTAGATTTTTTAGTTCTGGAAAAATCATCTCATTGTCAGTCACAGTTGTTGCCATGATATAGATGATATGATAATTATAGCTTAATTTAATAAGTATATTCAATTAAGCTTATGATATAATGTACTAGCATGTAAATTTACAGTGTCCTGATATATATCACCTAATTTAAAGTTGTGTTTAGGCAATTATTATTGTTATTTTTAGGAAGTCTATGTGCAATATTATCATTTGCTTTCCCAATCTATGTGCTAGTCCGGGTGTCAGCAGCAGGAGTATTAATATCTGGCACGATATCAGCTTTAGAAGTATTATCAGCAGTACATAAACTGGCGCATCCAAGTCCACAAGGTAAAATTAAAAATACAAATCTCACTTAAATATCATAATAAAACATCAAAATTTGATAAAGCGTTAATTTCTCTAAATAATAAATGTTATTGTGTTTGTTATTATTTTAGATGAGCATGGTACTTCCTACAGTTGCTTAAATCAGCCTAAACCATCTCAAGACAGGCGCGGACCTCTTTGGTTTCTTAGGCCATCCGTTTCGTGTCCAGCTTTTGGAACAAATATGAATAGAACGCATGAAAACAAAAGAGGTAATATATAAAAAAGTTGTTCATTATAATTTTTGTCAATTATTGGAATTGAAATGAATATAAATTAGATTGAAACTTTGTTGAAATAATAAGGTAAAGAAAAGTCAACAAAAGCCAAGAACTCATCGCTTCGAATTCAGGTATCCACTGGTGCATATGACTGTGAATCGAAAATGAATTGCAGAATGAATAGAAATAAAAGAGGTAGTAGTTTAAATTTGAAGAGCCGAAGGTTACAATTCGGAGGTTACATTACACATATTTTTGTAAAATGTAATATTTGTTGTTCGATGTAGTTTTGCAACTATCTGGAATATGAATCAGTCATGATAATTTTTTAGAGATATTATTTGAAATATATTATCTAATAAAAAGAAAGAATTATAATCTTAGTATATTCACTTGCCTTACATTTACTTTAAAATATTGAGTCTTAGACGATGGAAATCAGAATATAAATAGCATTGAGGCTATTCCGTTCATTATGAGATCTTTTCGTAGAAGTCCTAACCCTAGTTCTTTTCGGGTAGACTTTAATCACACATGTTTATTTAACGCATTGCAGGATACTTTTGTTCAAATTATAATAAATCATAATAGTTAATAATTCATAATAGTCAGAGAAAACAATAATAGAAAGGTTGCACCTTATAAACGCACAGTAATAGTAATTGTAATTTAAATTGAACAGAGACCATTTTATGTATTAGTTTTGCTAAATAGAATTGAAAAATTGTGATATATATTGATTATATAAATTAAAGTGTATACGCTAATGGTTTAAAAAAATGAAATTAGTGGTGTATGGCATCGTGCCATAGGCAATTTGCTGGAACTTCTCATATCAAAATTTAATAATCGAATAATATTAAATATTTCAAATATATTATTATAAGCTCTGAAACTTTCATTATTCGTATTTGATAGAGACAATATAAGAGCGTATAACTTGGATGATTTTATATTATTATACTTTAGTTTATATAAGTTTACTTGAAAAGTAAATGAACAGAACTTAAGGCAGGAATGTTAGAATGAAGAATATTGTTTCATATTTCAAAGAAATAATAAACTGAATAGCAAAGTTAAAATTATATAAGTGATTTTTGAATGTTAGCTAGAATAAAAATTAAAATCCGACTTATTTTTGATATTTAAAAAAAAATGGATATGAAAAAAAATGGAGAATTTTTTTCTTTCCATAAAAACAATCGTTTTGTCAATACAAGTTTTTGAATCATTTAACTCGGTTGCTTCTGTCTCTCAAAAACTACTATATTTTGCACATTTAGCTCCTTAACTCCAAAACGTTTGGACCTGTCTTTGCCAAAAACTAATCACTACTTCACCCCATCATTCCGAATTGAATAACAAATATTGTAATTCAAAAAATTAAAAAAAAAATACGAATTGAATGTTTAGAATCATTCAAATAAAATGCTCCGCGCTCTTAAAAACTTAATTGTCATTTTCTGCACTTGTCATTTTCCAAAAACTTATCAGTCTCTTTATCAATAGAAAATGAATGCATTTTGAATAATTCAAATCGGCGTTCCAGAAAATGTGAACGAATTATATTCATACATACATACACACGCGAATACACACCCACAACCATTTTTCTAAGGTATGCCAAAATGCTCAGGAACCTCTGAAACGTCGAGATATGCAAAAAATTTCATTTTAGATTTATAGATGATTACAATAACTTGCCACACAAGAAGTTGAATATATTATAAATCATAAATGTAATATATTAAGAATGTTAATTACAATGATGTGTAGTAAATAAAGCTGTAATTACCCGCAATTTAGATATCTATTACTATTATCTAATAATTATTAAAATTGATTATCATCAGAACGAGAACGAGAATGGTTGCTATTAGGCGAGCCGTCTTCCCCGCTAAGTCCGACTTGCCCGGAAAGTCCGAACCGAGATGCGCGTAGCCCCTTCTCGAGTCCGGAGCTTTTAGAATCGGCTTTGGTATCGGGGGCTGATCGGCACAGCGACTCCACAGATATAGATGCAGCCGTGGACGAATATAAACAGGATGTTTCAGTAAGTTTAAATATACATTAACTAGAAACTGTGTCTAGAATCAGTAATGCAATACATCAAGTATATATCAGAGATCTTTCTGAAGTTTTAACCTACAGTTTAAATAATTTAAAGTTTAATAAAAGCACAAATCGAAAATAAACTAGTTGATTTGGTATTTAGCCTTGAGGCAAGTTACATGAACTTCCCGATATGTGTAACTAATTGACTTCATTAATAAAATATAATTAATTTATGAGTGATTAAAAGTAATTAAAATTGAACCAGTTTTTGTAGGAATTTAATAATTTGGTCTGTTCATTAAGACTAAGTACTCTATCGTAATACCAAGTGAGTGAATCGTCTAATTTTAATTTTAACAAACGTCAAAAAAACTACTCATTTTCTCAAACTTTGATGATCTTTTAAAATTAAACTACTTGTCGTAAGGCCGTAATATTACAGTAAGTTCTATAAGACCATGATATATCGTTAAAAAAAATTCCATAAAAATCGGCTTAAATTTTTTTTTTCAACAGTGAATTACAAGGAAACGGCTCGGTAGATTTTCACCTAAAACTAATCAGTACTATTCCCAACTAATATCTTTCAAACAGTTTCTGATTTTTTAAAATCGGTTCGGTAGGATGAGCTTAAATGTCGACGAAAAGTTAAACACTTTTTTCCAAATTTCAAAGAAACGGCTCGGCCGATCGTCACACAAAACTGACAAAAGATAGTCCTCATCGAAATACATCAAATGGTTTTTAAATTTCTGAAATCGGTTCAGGCGTTTTTGAGAAAACGTCGATGAATGGTCTAATTTTGACAAATGCCGAAAAAACGATACCAATTTTTGCAAAATTTGACGAATTTTCAAAGTTAAACCAATTGTCGTAGGGCTGTAATATTTTAGTATGATCTAGAAGACTATAGTATCTACCGTCAAAAAAATAATAGCAAAAATCGTCGAAAAAATTTTTTTAACACTTTATTACAAGAAAACGGCCCGGCCGATCTTCACCAAAAACTAATCAGCACGATTCCCAACCAATATCTTTCGAACGGTTTTTGAATTTTCTTAATCGGTTCAGAATTGCGGGCTAAAACCAGTGGTGTTGTGCTAATATTTTTTTGCCGGAACGCTAAAATTTAAAATCCGGTTCAAAAAATTTGATATATTTCGATAAGAACTCACAAATTTAATATATTGACTTCTTATATAATTAACTTTCTTATATACAGCTAGTCTATACATTAAATTGTACAAGTATGAGGGAATCATTGAGTACATAATTTATATTCTTTAATAACATTAATTATATTTATTGCGGTATTATTTGTATTCATTATTACTTACAGGTATTTATTATGATATAAAAGTACTCAAGATTCATTACAATAATTTATAAGACTTAACCTAATAATATGATAGATAACCTATTACCTATATCATACTATACTATATTATTGTATATCATATATAGATATCTATTATCTATCATACCGTGAGATACCTATACCGTCATTAACTCTTATTTATACCCTACATATCTTTTACTTCTTATAAATACTACTGTCTAATTTATATATTCTAATTATAATATGATAGATAACCTATTACCTATCATACTATACTATATTATTGTATATCATATATAGATATCTATTATCTATCATACCGTGAGATACCTATACCGTCATTAACTTATTATATACCTACATACATTTTACTTCTCATAAATACTACTGTCTAATTTATATATTTACCTATATTATATAGGTTTACCTTATGCCTTATGTATTTTTTTTTATTATCTCTACCTATCTATTGTCTATACCGGGATTTGAACCCGAGACCTTCGCGTGGCAGTCGCGCGTCTTAACCACTACCCTATCGGGTACCCCACCAATAATATAATATGGGACGCACTGCTGTTACCGCGGGTCATTTTCTAATTAATTAGATAATTATTACTAAGGTGGCGCGAAAAAAGTCGGTTGATTGTAGCGTTACGGTGGTGTAGTGGATAAGGTCGTCGCGTGTCACGTGGCGGACCCGGGTTCGATTCTCGGTAGGGTTAATGTAGTGCGTAGGTCGAGAAATTATAGGTAATAGGATATATAGTAGATATAGGTTAGGTGTATTCGGTATAGGATGTAGGGATTTGAGAGTATATGATAAAATATATATGTATTTGTATAGATGTAAAGCGTGTAGTATAGAATGCAACGTATAGGCATACGTAAGGCTATAAAAATACACGAGTAGGAACCTATGATGTAGGTGTTAGCGTATGAGAAATGCGAATGTATATAAGATTTAATTTATAAATATTATTTTTTCTATAAGAATTTTTATCTCGGTATTAAATATCTAAAATATCAAAATATCCGTTAAGGCATCGATTACACCTTACTGCTGCCGTTATCACTTCATAGAAAATTAATTACTGCACTTTTAAACGATTGTGTGCACTGTGCGATAATAGACATAGAACTATAAATTTTATTAAATGTTTGAGTAACTTGTGCGAGCTGATTTTCCTTAAGATGTTCTTAGTCTCGAACCTTACTGAATTCTAAAAATTCTAAATTTAAAAATATAATATAAAAATTATTATACCGCTGTCTGGAAGGGATGGCAATTTATAAATATACAGACTAATACATACAGAATTTGGAATTTTTCTATAATCCGTAATATTAAGAAAGTTTGCATTAGACCTAAAAAGGGATACTTATTTACCTAAGCTATGGAAATATATATGGAAATATCATATGATTTGCACATGCATCCTGTGCTCACTTAAACTAAACAATGATCATAATATATTTAACGAATTTTTAACAGTATTTACAAATTACATTCAAATCACCCAAAACAAGTGGGTTAAAGTCGTGTAATTTTTTAATTTGCCTCTCCCATTTGAATTTGAAAATGGATTTTTCTTTGGGGCGTGTGCCCCACGTTGGGAATTACTAGTCTAGGAGTACAATTTTTTAATCTACTACCAGGTCAATCAATAATTGAGTGATCATCAATTCCACAGCACCTTCATCAGATTTTTAAAAGATCAAAGTTTCTATGAATATGCATACAAATCTCAAATTGTAGGCCGAAATTTAGACAATAAGTCTATTGAAATATCAGGGTAACTCTTTTGCTATAAATTGTCAACTAATTTACCAATAAATAAATGTCAATAAAACAATGATTAAAAAAAATTACCAATAAATGTTGGATTGTAAAAATTTACAAGCCTTAGACGGCAAAAATTTCATCCAATTATTAAAATATTACATTTTTTTGCAGTTCTTATGCTTTTGTATTTATAGAATTGCTTTTTTTCGCTACAATCAATTTCCATTATATGAATGTCTTAAATTATTTATTTTATTCGACTAACGCCCGCTATGTCCGAAACAAGTCCAACTTATAGCCGAAATAATCGGGCATCAGACACTTTTCGGTCTTAAAGTAACATATGTGAAATTTGAAATACACTACTGTATTGTAATTAATTTTCAGTTCATACACCTCAATTTGTAACTAAATTAAAAACGACTTTGATAAAACAGTGGTGTTGTGCTAATATTTTTTGTCGGAACGCTAAATTTAAAAACTGGTTCATAAACCGTTCAAAAACCGGTTCTCATGTTTTTTCCGGTTCCGTTCGAAAAGGAAAGAAACAAAATTATTACAAAACCCATTGTGTGCTATATATGTATGTTTATTTCAATAATAAGAACATTTAATAAAAATTAATTGAATAATAATTTATAAAATTTACTTATTAAATCATTTTCTGTATGTAGCGATTTTTTTATATTTTTTCTTGCCGGAAAGCGTTCTTTCCCAAAAATGATTTGCCGGAACGACGTTCCGGCGCGTTCCTGCTCGACAACACCACTGGCTAAAACGTAGACGAAAATTTTTTCACTTTTCTGCTATTTATAAAGAAACGTCTCGGCCGATCGTCCCACAAAACTGACAAATAATAGTCCTCGTCGAGATACATCGAATGGCTTTTAAATTTTTGAAATCGGCCCAGCCGTCGATTTACGGCAAAAAAATCTGTTCACACGCACACACACACACATACTTCTTCCAAATTTGGTCTCATTCGATTCAGAATGGCTTGAAACGTCGAGAAAACATAAAATTAGCGAATCGAATTTTTTGATGAAAACATAAACTTCTCCTTCGGGAAGTTAAAAATAATAAAAAAATGTTTGGAATAAAAAAAATTGTTTTTGCTTTTCACAAAACTGATCGTCGTATCTTCACAAGTTAAATGTTTTTTGAATCATTCGAATTGAATGCTTTCTCTAAAAAACTGACAGTTTTTACACTTTTAGTCTATTATGTCTGAAATGGCTCTGGGCCTGTCTTTGCCAAAAACTAATTATCACGTCTTATCAATTATGTCTTTTTATCATTACGTTTGAATTGAATTTGAATTTGAATCATTCAAATCAGTTGAGCGGTGCATACATTCATTACATACATACATACACATACATTCATTTTTTCTGAGGTATGGCAAAATGCACAAAAACTTCTGAAACGTAAAAATATGCAAAAATTTAAACTACAAAAACTCGATTGAAAAATGATATTATAAATGAATAATATTGTTAATGATTAGAATTAATTAAATATTCTGAAATAATTCATTGTTGGTTTATCTGATTTCAGTTCAATCAATATTATCATTATTATGAAATGTGCTTCAATTAAGAAAATGTAAAAAAATTAAATTCGTTATTCACATCGGATTATTTTACATATTTACTATAAGTTTTCTTCTTAAATCGATTGCATTTTTATAGATTTTGCAACCGATTGTCGAAACCAAAGCTCCTACAACAGCCACATGGAGAAGATCAGTAGTACTTATAACTTGTGTAAGTTGTGTTAGTGCCATTTTTGCAACTGCAGTAATTCTGGAGATGACAGAAGCTGCAATCTCATTTTCTATAGGTGAGCATTAATAATAAATTTAACAATATTCGTTTCATATAAACCCCAATTTTTCTATTGTTTTGCTCATATAAACTGACAAAGAGTCTGTATTTAATTTAAAGTAAATTTTTCCTCTAACATAATATAAAAACTTGTTTTTTTTTTGCAGTATTGATATTTATAACTGGTCTGTTTTGGTGGATTCCTCGTCGCCCTTCTGAAGGTTTTGTAACATGTGCCGCAATTACAGTAATAGTAATATCGATTCTGCTAATTGCTGAAATTATGCCAGATACTTGGCCTGCTATAACTATTTGGATTACTGCAGGTACTACTTATATAAATGACACAAAATGTGTAACAAACATTACAAAACATTTTTTAGACATATTAATAATTATCAATTGAAATATGTTTAAAAATTACATTTCTGAAAAATTAAAAGTTATAGTAACAAATTGGAATTTTTATAACTCATATTGATAAATATTGAAGCAAAATTGACTACACTAGATATGTATATAGTTATAGCCTGTAGGCGAAGTTCATGGCTGAAGTAAATAGCATAATCATATTACAATTTGGGGTAATATCTAATATACAGTCAGTCAAGTAGAGGCGTGGCCGACTTTTTAACGACAGTTAATGAAAGATTTGGTCTAATTCTTTCGTGAGCCGATAAAATGAAGCTTTGTACTTGATGCATTGTCTACAAAGGTTTAGTTGTCGTTGATCTTTTGAAAAAATCACGTTAAACGCCATGAGTGCTAAGTTTGTATAGAAATCGATACACCTATATAAAGTTGCTAAAATGTCGATGATTTACCAGAACGTGGTTCAAAAAAAAAATAAGAAAAAAGAACAGTGAATGTGTTTTTGCGGAATCCTGCTTTAACACTGCAGCAAGGACGAGCAAAATTAATGGCAAAATGTTTAGAAATATCTACAAAAATATCACAAAACTATCTGAGCCTTTCTTCGTATTCATGATCTGAAATGACGCAACACAATGGGGAAGCCTCTGACGACTGAAAAACATTGTGCTTCTTTTACATTTGGGGAAAAATATTGATAGAGATTTTGAAAATGTTATTTTACTGATAAATGTTCTATATGAGCACTTACTGCCCTCATCGAGCAGTTAAATTAAAATACGAGCCGTCAGACTAGAATAATCCGTTAAATTAGTAAAAAGCATGCGTCGGAGATGCCAGCCAATTGTCGACTCCGGAGGTGACTGGACAGATATTGACAGAATTGCATCATTGCTTGTAATGCATACAATGCATATATAAATATGAAAGTTTCATAAAATAATTATTATTATAAATTAACACGGCCACGCTCTTACTTGACCGACTGTACATAGATTTGTGTATGCATTTTCAAGACTTTTATCTGTACTTGCATCGAGAAATAGTTTCTTTAAATCAAGTTGTTACAATATATGATACAATATATTTATTAACTTTCCACAGAGTAAGTTAATAGAGATCGCAAAAAATCGAAAATATTTTTTTTATATTTCTGAACATTTTGGCATACCTTATTGTGAAAGGTTAGGAAATTCAATAAAAAAAATAAAAAAAAAACATTCGGCGGACAAAAATGATCATTAGATATGCCAACAAATTATCACATATTTATTAATAAGAACAATTTTTTTACATTTTTATGGGTTCTGTGCTATTTTTTATCCGTATCCTCCGACGCGGCGCTCATGCGCTTTGATATTTCGTTTTCACGCACCTAAACGATCGCAATTGTTTTGAAAAAAGTTCAAAATTCCAACAATGTATGGAAAAAATTCTAATTTTCTACAAGATCATTTTTTTTTCAAAAATTTTAAAAAATCTCAGAAATCTTATTTTTTCAAAGTTTTAAAAAAATATTTTTTTTTTTCAAAATATTTAAAAATTTTTTTGTACGAAAGTTTCAGCACTTTGTTTGAAGGCACGATGCCATGCACCACTAATATTAAATTTATATTAAGTAAAACTTGAATGTGCACGTGACTCCTAATTTCAATACTAATTGTATAATGTTTTAAGGTCTAATAATATTCGCAAGATTCGACATTTGCTGCAACTGTTCTGAAGAATTGAGGAGCTTCAAGATGCCGCGTCCGGCGCGATTCGTGTCCACCCCGCGGTATAGGCACAGACGGAGTCCGGGGCCAAGCTGACCCGAGCCTTTGCTCGTAGATCAATACAGTAGTGATTCCGACACTTCGGATTAGAAATTAATTGGTTAATTATTTATTATTTACTGATTATTGATTGAATTCTGAAGGTTAATAGACACGATCAATTTTCTCTTTCAATTTGTTATGTTTACAAACAGTTATACGGGTGCTTCAAAAAAATGTATACACACTTTGAACTTCCATAGAAAATTTATTTACCGTTCTACAAAGTTAAATTTCAGGAAAATAGAAAGTGGAGATAAATCTCATTGGACGTTTTGATACGATGTACAAAATCAGTTGTGACTCGTACTCAGAATTGTATTGATGCTGCAGGTATTTATGTTTCATTTACATTAGACTTTCAGCTTTCTATTTTCCTGAAATTTAACTTTGTAGAAGGGTTAATAAATTTTATATGGAAGTTCAAAGTGTGTATACATTTTTTTGAAGCACCCTGTATATCGATAGTATCCAAACTTTTAATTAGACTTTTATCGTAATTTTACATTTACTTAGTTCTTAAGAGTTATATTAATTAATGAATAGTTATCGGCTAATAAACAACAGACGAAATGATGATAAGAAATTTTCCGAACTATTCTTGTATATTATACAAACAACTTAGTAACTATTTACTAAACTAAAATTTAACAACAAAAGTTACTATATTTGTAAAACAAATATTTACTTACGCACGCATGTTTTGATATTGTCAAACTAATAAACTACCAAATTTATCAGATTACTACAATATTGGTTTGAATGAGACAAAAATCATTTATTAAAGTTATGCCTTTTCGACTTAAAAAAATTCAGGATAAAGCGGAGCACAAAGGTCCAATTTAATTTTCAGTAATTATACTGTCTAAACTAAATGATCTGTAATTCAATCAAAGACCTTGTAATACATAAGGTACTATAATAATAATAATAAATGGTAGTCTGCCCGAAGGCAGGCCCATGGTGTGAAAGCCACCACAATTAAATGATTCCTTTGCCTTTTAACCTATTACCACAATTACCCTTCCCCATTTTTTAATTATTTAATTTTATTTTTTATAAGGTACTATAAGGTATATAAATTCAACACATACAACGTATTAAAAAAAAACTATTGAAATATGTTCAAATAATTCTTAATTATAAAAAGATATTTTATTTACTATTTGTTTTTTAAATTTTACTCCATAAGCAGAGTAAAAAAGTAAGCCAGGAGGCAAGCAGATTCAATGTCTAATTTTATATGTTAGAGGAATTTTACGAGATAATATATACATTATTAATTAACATGAGGATGACTCGATTCACATCTTTTGTTTTCTACTTTAAAATAGTATCGTCAAAAAAATTTATACTTTACTTGTTTTTTAGATAATGGAGATGGAGCTTTTTACTAACGGACCTTTTTACCGCCCTCTTTACTCTATATTTTTTATTTCCTTTTGAAATTATATTGATTTCGATTTTATTTTTTTAATACATTTTTCAGCAACGGTATATAATAATATTTTCTAATAGTTTGAAAATTTCTTGAATTATACTATAATCAGAAAAAAATATCCCCGTTTTTCGACAACAATTTCATATGTATATGCAAAATTTGTTATGACTTCTAATTGATTGTACATCATCAATTATTAACCAAAAATATCAAAAAAATGTTTGTTATAATACAATTATTATAAAGTCAAAATTAATGCATAAATTCAGAAGAATATTTAAAACTTAAAAATAATTTCACAATATATAAATGTTTGAAAATAAGTGTGTCATGATAACTCTTAATATTAAGACAATTCTTGATGTTAACAAAATGATCCAAATTTCAAAATCTAGCAGTATTATATGAGCAATGTTTAGTGATAATTGCCCTCAAAACTTTGGAAAAAAAAGTATTAATCTACTTCAAAATTATTAGTATTAACTACTTCAAAAGCAATTAGCATAACAATAAAAATAACCAATACTTTTTTATATGATAAGATAATATTTTCATAAATTTTTATTCTAACTAGATTCTAATAAGCAATAAACTTCTCGATATGAATATTTATACTTATAAGCGTTTACTATATATAATATTTGCTCTATATATTTTTGAATATAATATAGTAGATAATGTAGATTCTTAAATTCAATTTCAATTATTAAAACAATGCATACAATTCAATTAATAACAAAGTACAATTATTTAATGAAATTAATGGTTAGTGATTACAGAAAATGTGCAGAAGATAATATTGTACTAGCATAATTTAATTTTTAAATCAAGATAATTTATGTTAATAAATATTTTATTTTTCTTAGAATTTAAGCTTGTTTACATTGCCTGCTTGACATATTTACATATGTGAACTTGATATTATAAAATTATTCGCGTTGCCTTCAGTGATACGCCTTATTTTAAATTAGGTTAAGTATTCTTTTCTTGATCTCTTTATATCATAAGCAAACATCAATTTTGAGAAATATTTTAAAAGTTAGTTTTAGAATTAGATTGCTACATGATAAAGAAATAAAAATTATATTTACTTAGCTGGGAGTTGTGACACTAATTAATTAATTTTAATACGACATAATTCTAAATATTTGTAACAAATTATTTAAATAAATTGTGTAAATGCAAAAACTAATAATTAATATTTTTTAAATATATTACATATCTAATTTTGCAGAGTGCCTAAAATGGGTTCAATGACTGTTTATTGCTAGGTAGCTCAAATTTTTTTTTATTACGACATGGTATGAGAAAGCATTATGTTTCAAATATTTTGTAAAATAGATTGTCCCATAATTGGAATGCAAAACTCTAGAATGGGCTTTGAATCGCTTTGAATAATTATTTTCTTCAAAATATGGTTGCATGTAACACTTTAAAGGGGATAAATTCACAAATATTGGTACAACTTAGAAAGAAAGAAAGATTAAAGAAAAATTAAATATTAAATTATAATTAATATTTATAATGATTGATCAATAGTTAACTAATGAAACAATCTACAAAAATCAATTTGAAATGTCAATATAAAAATCTGTAAAAAGTAACTAAGGTAACCCACATCTTGTACACGATTGAATTCCATCACCATATTTTCATACAAAATATATTTTTTCATACTTTAAGAATAAGTATGCCAATTACTTATTATTTTTAGGTAGTATTTGCAATTAATGTTAAACTGAATTTAAATTCGATTTGAGTTATTTTTAAGTGGTCATTTTTGAATTCCTAATCAATTAAATTCTTATATTTTACAGCAAATTTGTTTTTAATATCGATGATCTATTAAATAAATAAAATTATAAAACATTGCATTTTGAATTTACATAAAAAATTCATCTCTTTATGAGGTTTTTGTTTTTGCTTTAATACTGCAGCATTTATTTATTAGATGTATATGTATACTTCTAATATCACAAAACAAAACTATCAAATCTTTGCATTGCCCACAAAATAAAAAAAGTTGTTTGTGTAACATATGTTTTCCAAAGCAATTTTACCGTTGAACACGAATCTAATGTCAAAATTCAAGAATTACTACTAAAAGCGATTTTTTTAAAAAAAAAAACGACAAAATCACTGGTCTAAGTTTTTCTACTAAATAACTAAAATCTTTTAATTTATGTGGTTTTCTAGCCCTTTTCTCCTTAAATGACCTGTGCAACTTGTTAAGTATCTTTTATAAGCAAACATATTTACTCTCCCTTGCCCCTAGATAATCTGCAGACATAATCTGAAAATATGTTTGCAAATTAATGCTGAAAGCTACTGAAGAATACTCAAGAAAAATGACTATATTCATGAAAAAAATTCTAGACTTTATCGATTTTTTTTATTTTCTTGGGTTTTGCAGTTCAACTACCAATAACTTTAAATTCATATTCAGCGGTAAAAAATGCATGTCGCACAACTAGTACGTGCAAACTTTTTTGTTTTGTGGACCTGCGTAATTGAAAAATGTTAGATAAAAAAGTCGATAAAATCAATAATAAACTAATTTCGTACCAGCACAATTATACTATATAAATCCCAGAGTGGCAGCAAATAATGGCAGTTCTAAATCCCTGATATTGGCATTTAAACCACTTCATTACGCATTTGCGAATTTCTACATTTTTCCAAAGTGTGCACAGATGCCTCATGGGGCTACTCAACAAATAGTTAATTTGTAAATAAAGATAATGTAAAAATATGTTATTTTCTCAAATTGTTTGCACTAGAGCAAGATATATAATATAATGCGTTTGTATGGATACAAAAGCACTATAATTCGAGAGCAATTTCTGTCACTCCG